AAAAGGTAAGTGATAAGGGATAAAAAGCGCATGAGCGCGTCACACATAAACAATATCGGACAACCCTATCACACGAAAAAGGACTTGGGAGCGGGCTTAAAACTTATTGCATTTGGTCATCGAACACCCACAAGCAACTCATTAATGAGAGATGCCACTCGGTATGCAAAGGGCCGCTGTCCTGGCGCCGGGGAGCTGTGTGTTTTTGTGAATGTCATTATATCTGATGCTTGCTTTAATATCTGCAGATGTAGAACATTCCCTTAAATGACTAGCTGTGCACTTAAACCAAGTTCTGCATGAAGCTTGTGGTTGCTGCATCTTTTAAGGTAATTAATTAAGTTTTGAGCACTGTAAGATGCAAATGGGCAATCCTGGTTTTTTATTTGCACATCCAATCATACAATCATTCTTATGGTGACCATCAATGTAACAATGGATGGACCAGGCTTAGTTGACAAAGGTGTGTTATATTGTTAGTTGACTCATAAAATGATATTTTTATGTGTTTGAATCAATTTCATTTAAACTATTTTGGCTTATTTTTCAGTTGTGCAAACTTCTGCAATGCGTTCACAGTGTCACAAACTCCTATTTTGGCTTCGTGGGTGATTTTGTAGAATTTTTAAGGAAAGATACTCTGTTCATTATCACTTAACGTCAGATAAAGCTGGTCTGCTGATGATGAGACTATTTTATGGTGAAGTGGAGCCATCTATGTTGATTTATATTACGTGTTTTTTCAACCACCATGATTGCAAAGATAGGTATATCTCACATTTGGGTATGTTTTTGGTACGAACTACGTCAGCAGAAGTGAACATGTGATTGGCACAACCGGTGGCGTAAGCATATGACGACACGCGCATTGGTGGAAGTGGGAACATTTACGTCATAAAACCACGTCATAATCGGCTGGCGCATAGCCGCTTTGTAAATGCTTCTCGGAGCCAACGAACCCTTCGAAAAGAGCCGCTGTGAAATGGACGCCACAGCCATAGACATAGCAAAGAATTAAAAGGCATAGTGCAACGGCTCATTGAGTTCGTGTGATAATGGCCGCATATATGGTCATATTTTGCTAAAATAGAGGGCTTAGACTCTCGTCATTTGTTACACAGACATTTCAGCCAATTGGTGAATTGGAAACACTGCATGAGACCCATAGGGGGGGGGGGGGGGGGGGGGGGGGGGCGGGTTCAAACAAATTGAGAACATAGATTTCATGGCGGTGAGCAGGGAGTCCAATGAGAGCTCTCCCGCCAGAGCGGCTGCTTGAAATGCATATTTTGAGCATGAATTTTGAGGAAAAAGGTACTACCGACCAAATCGGTCGCGTCTGATCTACCTAGGAGCGTAAAGTAGAAAACAGGTAGCAGAAAGTTCCTCCACCTTCAGTGGATGTTTGGAAATCCGGCCGAGTATTTCAAGGTCTGTAGTCTGGGTATTTTTCCCTCGCGTTTCGTGCTGAACATACGGCTCCACTAAACTGGATCTATTTACTCGGCCAGTTTCCCTTCTTTCCTGTGAGTACAGGCCAGCTCGGATTTTATTTGTACACTTGTCTTGGCTTGTATAAAAAGTTCATCTTCCATTTTTTACACACTCTTTCCATTTGTTCTCTTATTTTTGTATTTACCTTATCGAGACTATCCGAGAAGTTATCTATCAACCTGCCAAGAGCAGTCCCGACTGTCAACGCAGTATCTTCCTTGATCAATTTGATCATTTCAGTGTCCACCAGTAACTTGTTTTTGAGATGATACTTAGGTGTTCGTTGCTTTTCCTCGGCTGCCAGGAACGGGTAAGAGGCACCCTGGATTGTTTCTTTCCATGCACCACCGTAAGCCCGGTTGTTACAAAATTTTGGAGGGTTCAAGACCCTCAGATCCCTAGTACGATAGTGCTCTAAACGCGTATGTTCAAGTGACGTATGTGTATAGGTATGTGTATAATGTATGAAATGTATAACTAACGTATAACAAAATGATAATGCACAACCAAAATGTACAACAATAGTCGCAAGCATTTCCAAGATTGACATAGAGGCTGAAATCCAGTGAGAAATTTGTTTTTGAATCCTGATTACGGAGGTTCCCCAGACTGCCCCTCCCGCCAACCTGACCCTAGTTTGCACGCAAATACATCCGACCACCCGGCAGTGAGTCACTGTGACCCTGTTCCAACCGGCATCGACCGCACATCGCATGCACGATCCCGGACCGTTCTAGTATCGACTTCAGGCCTGTTTTATTCATTGCACTGCGCAGGGGAGGCCACTGAATGGACCCTCCCAACACCCCACGCGATTTCACAGGACACTGTTGATTGATTAACCGCGGCGCATGCGCACTAGCTGGCCGTGGCTTCCGACGCGGCATTCCTGTCCAGGTGTGATTGGCGGTCGGTGACGGTCGCGCGCGATGGAGGGGCTGCGATCCGGCGGCTAACATGGGCGTGATCACCGAGCGCACGTCCCGGAGCCAGAGCGGGGAGCGCGGCTCGACCGGCGGCGGCGATGGCGTGCGCCGCTCGGCTACCTTCAGCGGCTGAGAGCACGCTGCCCGGCTCGCGGGCAGGTGAGGCGCCTTGGTGGCCGCTGCCGGGCCGGCTGGCAGCGGCCGCTGGCCTGCGCGGCGACAGCTCTGCGTCCATCGACATGTTCTGACAGGCCGGTGATGTGTCGGGTACGGCACGAGTTGGTCCGACTCACAAACTTGACGCAGCGCTGGTACATTTTATCTTGTGTAGAAAATGGTTGAGGACAGGGGAGACTTAGATTGTTCCATGTGATTTTGGCGAGGTTATGCCCACCTCGTGTTTATGAGCAGCTTGTGTGGTACTTGATTGTCTCAGCTGAGACAACCGGGTAATCTAGTTGACCTGGAATCCCGCCCAAGGGCCTGCACAATATAGAATGTTGTTTCACGTTTACACAGATACTGCGTGACATTTGGTGTAAGGCAACTGTGGTCGACATCTGGAGGGTACCTTCATAAAGCGGCGGCAGCTGAGTGATGTCTGCTACTGCCGGCTAGGTTCGCTGATCAACAGCAGACATTTCGCTGTCCCGACTGTGTCCTGCCTCCAGTAGCGCTCACACTGCTCCGTTCCGCAGCAATCGCGGCAGCGCAAACTCCCTCGGCAAGTCCATCAACGGCTCGATCGGCTCGCTAGATGACGCCGACGACTGCGACAAACATCAACGTGGTAGTCAGGCGAGTGGTAGTGGGACGAAGGCAGCGTCGGCGGCGCGCGGCCGGGCTCCTCCGTCCCCGCCAGCAGATACAAGTACCTGGCGGCCCTGCGCCGAGCGCCCGAACCGCCGGTGCTTGTCCTTTACCGACTGTCTCACGTGCCTCTGAGACTAGACGCCGCCAAACATCTTGCTGTATTATCGATTGGTGTGGCTGGCGGTCAAAGGCAGGGTCCGGTCTTCACGATCTGTGGCTCCGTTGGGCTGGGGCCGTATTGCTGGTTGTAATTGTGAAAGGAACATGACAAAAATGGTCTTTGGAACATGTTCTTAGTGTGGAATTTTTGGCGAGGGCCTATTTCGCACCCGGCAAAGGAAACCAAGTCCGAACGCAGGAATGTTTTACGATAGAGCAATTCTATGATTCTTGCGAGATATATGGATAGGGAAATGCAGTTCTTAGGTCACCTCCTTGTCAATGTTCTTAAATGGAACCCCATCATTACAGGGAACCAAGATGGGCGTTAAAATGTCATTTGTTTGCAGGGGCGCAATGACAAATGCCTGTGGACAGATATTCAATTTCCTCGCAAGCCGCCCTCGTTCACTTCCACCTCCAACGCTCTTGGCTGTTTGCAGTTGACCGTCACCCTTTTATTAAAAACCTGCAGTTTCAAATAAACTCCACCATACCACTAAGCATCACAGATGCTTCTTGTCTTCTTGTCTTCTTGTCTTGCCTTCTTGTAGATACTTGTCCTCTGTGCTGCAGAAGGGCGCGCACTTTTGCCCCTGGGGTACAGTGTAGGGTCAAATACACAGGAATGGGGGTCGTGAGCGATTTGGAAGGGGAAAAAACAGCTTCTAATTCAGTATCCAATGGACCGATCGGGACAAATCGGATGACAACCGAAGCCCTGACTAATACCCGATCAACCCTACTCCGGAATCGTTATGCTGAAATTGTGTACGTCACACCTTGCTGGGCAAGATTTTCATAAAGTTTTGGGGCACTGTAGCACCAATAGTAACGGCTACCTAGCTTTGCAACCAGCACACAGTGAGAGGGCTTCAGGATTGCACTGTTGGCTTAGAAATCAGAAACCTTTTCTTCATTCAGATCCAAATCATTCCATGTCAGTCATCTGAACTTACAACAAAGCATTTAGCATAAAACACTGCATCTTGTTTTTGCGTGACAATTTTGGTGGGAAGAATAGATCAACAATGCTAAATATACGCCGTCTGGTCACTCGAAAATGAAATGAAAATCTGGTCAAAAATGAAAATGAAAATCTAGTCGAAAAACAGAACGAGTCGTGGTTTGACTAGGCTCATTGTCACTCATGCATTCGATCATTTACGTAGCTATATGTTATGTTATGTTATGTTACGCTGTTGTAGGTTTTTATGTTGTATGTTATGTTGTTATGTCATGTATGCTATGTTATTACCATATGTTATGATGTTATGTCACTTGTCAACACGCACGGGCATCGGTCATTTCCACGTGTGCCTACAGCCCCATAGTGTCGGCAGTATCGCACCACATACTATTGCGGTTTAGCATGCCTTGGTAAAAAGTGATCCGCGCGCCACTTTAAAGGCGTATATTTGCTGGCTTGCGTGGGAACCCTCATTGAGTTGGGCTTTGTCCGCAATCAGGTGTCACTTGTCGACGACCACACATGAATGCATTAGACGAAACAAAACCAAATTGTGTGTGCCCATGCATTCTATCAAAATGGACGAATGTTTGCGGCTTGTAAAACAAGGCTAAGAATTATTTTCCGGTGACCTTTTGCAGAGTGCGGCCCCTGAATGAGAGGGAAAATAAACGCGGTGATGACAGCATCATCACCTTTCCAGGACAAGGCCAGCTGATGGTGAGTAGCATATACGTGTCGTGAATGCTATGAGCCCAAGCCCTACTACCATGCGTGATTCGGCATCGCTCTTCGACGGCCGTAGCATACCGTGGAAGTAAACGGAGCGAGCGAATTCCGAGGCGGGGCAGAATGTAGTGCTTTACCATTGCACCAGCTGCATGTGATCCTCGGAAACATTACTCTTGCAGTGATATCGAAATTACCTTAGTGAATGTCAGCAAAGGGACATCGTTGGTTCGGAACTATTCGTATAGAACACAACTTTTCCACCAGAGATGCCACTCTCCACTTCTTCTATCAATCTTAGTTATGCGTCCACTTTCTTAGAGCAACCAAAATGAGCGTGAGAGCTACCTGGACCGTCAGTATTTGTTACCAGTTACGCCAACTTTGAGACATTATTGGGGTACTTAAAACCATTTTGCGTAACATTTTGGGCATTTTTTGGCAGGCATTTGTCGAAATCCCGGTGACAAAACCCGACATTGTATCCCTGACTCCCCATTCTCATATCTCACGCTTCTAGGATCTAGTTACAAAGTGCCTCGAACGATGTGATGACGTTTAAAACGATTATAAAACGGATTTTCTAATTAACACTGAACGATCGGAGGGGTAAGTGAGAAGAGGGGCTTTCTTCCTGATGCTCTTAATGGAGGGAACGTGGCAAATTTGAAGAAAAAAAACGTGGCAGCACTCTAAATATGACTGATGAAGAGAGACCTCACATCCACAGAACCGTGGACTATAGCTGGAGGTTACATCCTCCATTCCAGCAACTCGAGCTGCATTTGGGATAAGAGGGCTGCATTTTGAAATATTTAAGTAGCAAGATAACCAATAATCCGTGGAAGGATGCATTGCTAGTCTGGAACCAATTTTCTAACCGGTTCTTGACTGACGTGGAACACATGAGTAGCAAGCGCTTGGATGATTAAATCAAGCGAAGTTTGTAATGTCAGCCATCCAGCAGTGGGCATAGATCATTAATGATTTCAGGGATCAATGATGGAAACCATATATTTTGGAGAGGCTAAAACACTCGCTGTTTACGGCGTATGCTCACAGTAACGTAACCAACTCACGTAACCAACTTGGTTTTTATCAACAGCTCGCCTGAATAATGGAAGGTATCGAAGGGAAGCACCGACAATCGCAGGGAAACTTTGTCCATTTTTTGAAGGAAGAGAAAGTATTAAGAACATGCAGAATGGATTGACGCTGTCGTTTTCTTCGCCGAAATGGTGGTAACGAAAGTGTATTATCCAGTTAAGCAACACCGAATGCACATATATATATATATATATATATATATATATATATATATATCTAAATCGAGTTCGTGAACGGACCTTTACGGCGGCATACAGCAGATGGGTGCATCAAATGAATATTCGTGATTCTGACTAGCGTACCAGATGCGGCGGACGACCCGTAACTCGGCACCGTAAGTCTAGGTCATAGCCTCAAGGTCAAATTAATCTTTGCGATTCTGACAAATGTACCAGATGCGGCGGGCGACCCGTAACTCGGCGCTGTAAGTCCAGGTCATAGCCTCAAGGCCAAATGAATCTCCGTGATTCTGACGAATGTACCAGATGCGGCGGACGACCCGTAACTCGGCGCCGTAAGTTTAGGTCATAGCCTCAAGGTCAAATGAATATCCGTGATTTTGACGAATGTGCCAGATGCGGCGGACGACCCGTAACTCTGCGCAGTCAGTCTAGGTCATAGCCTCAAGTGAACCTGTTTTGCAATCAGTTTGAGCCCGGCCGAACAATGCAACGCGGATGGAAGCAATCAAAGGGGATGTGGAATATGACAGTGCGAGGGTTAGCATTGGTAATGAGACGGCGGAAAGGCCTCGCATCCGCCAGAGGCTCCAGCGCCGAACGTGTGTCCCTTCGCGTCGTTTCAACCAGGGGTGGGTAAGCCGCATTGGTCCCTTGGTGCCAATTGTATTAGACCCCATGCGTCGGTAAGGGATCCTTTTACGTCAGCGACCGCCCTGCGTCGATCCGGTGCCAGATTCCCCGGTCAGATGGCCTGCTGCATCAGGGAGTGGACCGGTGTATGATGTGTCCCTCTGAGGACCTCTGTATTGACCAGGGCGGCCCGGACCTGTATCGCCGAAATGAAAGCTGCTTAGGACCCGGGCTGTGACGGAATGTCCCTTCAGATCCTGACCAGGAAGTGCCACCCTTACGATTTCGAAGTTGATTCTCTGAGCGGAATCACCAGTTACAGCAACACGAGCAATAAAAATTACGGCATTGCGTCATGAGTTTGTGGCGCTGTTCGTGCTTATTCATTCCCAGAATCAATCTAAAAATCGCGCGGGTAAAATGTACGACTTGAGATGACTTCTACACGTACAAGATCTGATTTTATTCACCGTCTCAAAGCACACAATTTAAGACATAGTCATTTTCACCCACCCGTTGACCGTCGCGATAAATATCCCTGCGGGGCAAACGGCGCGCGGTCTGTGGAAACTGCAACGCCGGGTGCCGGTGTTATTTCCTTTAGACCACGAGGGCACATGCCCAACATTTTTGTATTCAATTTTTCGCCGATTGGTGCTGAAGAAACTATCAACTTGTCCTGGCGAACGAGGGGTGGACATGTCGATGCACGTTTGGACCCCGCGTCGGTCTGCGCTGGCGTTCAGTCCACGTGCCGCTCAAGGTTCTTGTTTAACCCCGAGAAAATCCGCAAATGACCCTGGCTGCTATTGTTTAAAAGCGAAGGCCAAAGGCCCTGGTTGCTTTCATTTGGTTCACTTCTAGACGTAAGTGGAATTGTATCCTCTGTTATCTTCTGGCCTTTCTGTTGAATAACCTCAACATAAAAAATAAAAGTAGCAGTTGATGTCGCGAAAAAAGTGGGGTAAAGCCAACGGATCATTTTTGGGGTGATGTGCAGGACTGGACTTCATGCTGCCTGTCACCAGCAGGGCCCCCTGGTTAACTGCGGCGCCCTAACGTGACTCTGTCTGCGGCCCTGGCTAGTGACTGTGCATCCCCTTCACGAAATCCCGGAGATCGGTCCAGGCCCGCGCGGTCAAAAGGGGAGGACCTTCTTCCTTACACCCGTTTTTTCAATTTTGGTAACATAGGTGGTTCTTGACAGCAACTAACGTCCGCTTCTCATTGGACAATACCTGCAGTGAGATCCGTCGCCACTGAACCGATGTAAGTTTAAGGCAACAACAATAATTGTTCAACATGCCCGTAATCAAACCAGTGTGAACGATGAGGGCGGTGCTGAAGTATTGCTGCTGATCTGGTGCATCGAATGCACCGCATCTGGTGCATTCGTCAATATCACGTATGTTCATTTGACCTTGAGGCTATGACCTAGACTTGCGACGCCGAGTTACTGGTCGTCTGCCTCGTCTGGTACACATTCGTTAAAATCACGGATATTCATTTGACCTTGAGGCTATGACCTAGACTTACGGCGCCGAGTTACGGGTCGTCCGCCACATCTGGTATGTATGTATCATCTGCATATGTGACTGCATAGAAGTATACAAACACGATGTGGAAATGAATTGTTCCGCTTCAGCGTACAACAAAATTGTAGTTCAGCTGCCTGATTATCATGTTTTAAATGGTCGACTGATGGAAATCTGAACATCTAACTCACATATATATTTAGATGGTTACGGTTCATTTAGGTCACCTTTTTGAGACACGCGACACATTGTGCGTTACAACTACCATCGAGGACAGCTCAAATAAGACTAATCCTTTACCACAACAAACTTGCGCGTACCCCTGACATATTTGGTTGGCTACTAACGTGACCATACAATTACACATGAAGGAGTTCGGTATATATGAAATGACGAATTTTTTAGGTGATTTCGCCTCAGGTAAGTGATCGAAATTCGGAGACTCTTTGTGATGTGGGAGGGGGGGGGGGGGGAGGGGGAGCGAAGTCCCATGGGGACCACAGGAAAGCGTGGCCAATCCTTTGAAAAAATTGATGTGCTTGTTTAGCTGCTGATATAGCCGTACAGGCCAGTGCAACAATCACCTTCTCTCCTTTGAATTAAAATTACATCGCAGGCTATATGTGTCGATTTCCAATAGCATCCATATGATAGTTTGCCAAGCGCTCTTGAGCACCGCCTTCCGCATGGTTTTACCATGATTAATTTTTGAGATAACAAGAATGCCGTAAACATGCGAATTTTACTCATTTGACGTCGTATGACACGTGGAAGGTTATATTTAACGGTGTTTATACAAATCCACCTCATACATTTTAACAGGTGTTTTCCAATGACGTTTTCTGGGTGGCTCTAGCTAGCTGAGCTTTTGGGGAGGTCTATGGGGAACCTCTCGTCAAGCGAATATGAAAAACATATCAATGAGCGAGTGTGAAAATGTGTTTAATATCAATGGCGAATCCACCCGGATTTCCAGTTACCGCTTCGCGTAATGCTACGCTGCCCGCCACCCCTTCACTACTCGTCGACGGTACTCTACGGTTGCAAAAAAAGAGTATTTGTTTCTAGAAAGTGTGTCGGCAGGTCGGTGCCGGGACGCCCATGTTAAAAAATTGCCATGAATCTCAAATGATGCTCACTCGGCCTGTAACCCTGCTCTTAATTGAACGGCGACGATTGTGTGTCTGTCGTAAGGTGTATCGTGCCCACGTTGCAGCTCAACGAGGGCAACGGCTCCAAACCTAAACCATTCAGGTATAACATATGTCTGGGCCCGGATGCCAGCCAAGAGGACGTGATACTGCACTCAGGTAACGTGTCCTGTACCGCGTGCTTCCGAAGTTAGCAGCCGATGCCCGTAGCGCGGCTAGCAAAACCAGGGGTCTCATGAGCCAGAAAAATGTCGCTAGCAAATGTGTGCGTGCATCCCAAAAGCATACTACGCATCCTGCAGGGTCACTCGCCGACAGTATGCGGGCTCTGGGATCGGCTGCTGACATCGGACGTCCAAACTGCCACGATCCGCCCGGAGATCCGGCATTGTCACAGCTCGTGCCTTGTTCACAGCTGGAGCCGCCAGCTGCGAACATCAAGTCCAAGCAGTTTCGATTCAATATTCTGTTTGAGCCGGAGGCCACCCAGGAGGATGTACTCAATCATTCCGGTTCGTGTCGGAGTTCGCAGCTCTTCATACAGTGTAGCTCTGCATGTGTCGCTCGCTTCGCCGACGTCCTCTGCTGGCTTTCGGTAGTCTCGGCTGGGCTGCCTCTTCTGTTCTCTGCTGGCTTTCGGTAGTGTCGGCTGGGCTGCCTCTTCTGTTCTCTGCTGGCTTTCGGTAGTCTCGGCTGGGCTGCCTCTTCATCAGTGCTGGCTGAGCCTCCTGACTCGTTCCGCGCTCGCGAAGGGCGCCGTGGCACCCACAGAGATGAAAGTCGACATAGCTTTGCCCTCGCATAACACACGCATGCGCTGGCAGCCCGGGGTGCGTGTGCGGCCGTGGCGTCTGTGTGGCTGACTGACCCAGCGCGCGCCACGTGCCAAGGAGCTCGCGCCGGGCCTGGCGGGATGCGGACGTAACACTGGGCTTCGCTCGGACCGAACTGATGTCGGCACACCGGCGCCGCTGGACGATGGGGTGTGCTAACGATGCCGCACTCTCTTATGCATGATGCCTGCAGGCGACTGTGCTCAGACCTGCGAGGCCTGTGACACCTGGCTTCGCTCCCACTGCTTCCCGAGTGAAACATCACCGCTGCACGGGATTATGCTGAGATTGCCGGTCGAGGTGGCGATCTCGCTGGTTCGGTAGCGGCTGCCATCCCTGTGGTTACGTTCCCCGCTGCCAGTGTCTGTCGTACGAGCCTGCTGAAACGCCGTGCAGCCCGGTAAAATGCACACATAGATGTATATATATATATATATATATATATATATGATGTGTATATATAATAATTATACATATATATATATATATATACATATATTCATACGTCTATTTTCTTTTCGCCGATCGTCTAATCCGTGCTCCGCAATATATCTGAGGAAACCTGTGGGCTAAGCTCGACCTCTATATTGGTATCCACAACGACCGTAGTAATTTCAGTAAGCGTCTGGGCGCTCCGTGTGCCGAAGAAAGGGGACATGTTTCCTTTTTCTCAATTTATTAGAGGTTTTAACTCTTTTCGCGACCACAAACTTCGCCTAGTTATTTTTGCATATTGATGTTGTCGAGCGCGTCGAGTACGATGGTCATTCTGCGCCCACTCGCCTCACTCAAAGAAAGCAATTCAGTTTGCAAAGTGTTCTTCAAACGTAGGCTCAATCCATTCAAAGGGTGCAGCACAGTACCTGCACAGAGCACCAGCTACAAGCCACATTGCTACTCCCGGTAGCCATAGCTTTCAGCATGTAGTAGAAACCGGCTAACTCACGTGTAAGCCCTGAATCGTCCCAGTTAAGCCATTGCGCACACCTCTATGTGTAGCATTGCGAGGACATTATTTGCTCGAGGAGATTGGGCTCTGCAAAAAAAGCTTCCGATCTTATTTTTCCAGAGAGGACAGAGGATTTAGGAGGCAGTTTCCCAACCACCGCAACAAATCAAACAACGGAGCGATAATCACTTTTTCCATTGCCTTCCACCGAAACTCTACGCACTAATGAGCGCCAAATATAGTTGCTGTCGCCTGGTATCCACTTTCCGTGGGGCAAGTGCTAGGATCAAAACTTTGAAAAGTTGTTGTAGCGTTAAAAAATCCTGACAAGAGGATGCAGTTTGGACCAGGAGCATATGTTGCACTTATGTGTATTTAGCACGGGTGCCAGTACCACCCAGGGCGGCGGCGGCGGACGTTCTCGATCTGCCAGCTCTCTGCTTGTCTGTGGCACGAAGGGCTTCTTCGATCGCGCGGCCTCATCATGGAGCGACCTGTCGCCGGTCATCACCGCCTCTCACGCACGCAAGGCACTTCTTAGCGTACTGGACGATGTGCCTGCCGTTGTGTAACATGTTTTGACGATTTATGATCGTGTTTTTCACGAAGTCTGTGACCGAAGGAATAACGGAAAATATACCAATATGACCGTGATGTTGTCATCTAATAATGGACTTGTGCTGCTTTTGCACTTGCACCTAATCAAACAAGAAGCCACTTGTTGGAATGATTCATCAATGAAATGAACTTGGACCCCAACTTGGCGGGCCAATTCTTTCGTAGCCGGATGTCCGTGTTCACCAGTGATGTAGCGCGTGGCCGTTTAACGAGCGTAAAGACTACACGCGATTCCACTGTCAACGTAACTCATCCACCCCTGCTGCATGACTGCCCTGCCCCTTGGTCGGTGTCGTGTTCATGGTCTGCACAAACTCAAATGCCAACAACATATTTAAAGGCCAACTCGGATGCCGCTTAGATATGCCAAGATCACGTTATAAAGCCCACTCGGAACAACTGTCCAGAAGCCGGCGGAGCACGCTCCAGGCTCGCTCCCCACCCGGAGTAACAGGTGACGATGACGTGTGACGTGCAGGCACGTGACGTAAGAGCGTCCGCCTCCCCGCTGACACGAGCTCCCGGCAGGCGCCAAGCGTATGGTGGAGATGGCGGTGGCCGGCTATCCGTGCACGATCTTCTGCTACGGCCAGACGGGCAGCGGCAAGACGCACACGCTGACGGGACCGCCGCACCTGGTGAGTCGCGTGCGGCGAGACCCGCGGCCGCCACCGCCGCCGACGGCCGACCCGTCAACGCTCGGGACGAGCTGCATGCGGCGTGTCACGCGCCGTTGCAAGCCCCGGTCTGGCTTGATCTTGAAGGAACGCTGGGCAGTTGCGGGGTGTGTGAGGGATAACTGTTTGTGAGTGGGCATAGCGGGTAGCCGTTGCGCTGCATCTCGGTTCGGCTTGAAGGCAGGTGTGTTGTTGCCTGTCCGAACACCCAGAATGCGATCACGGCCTTGCACCGAAGTTGTTCATTTGAACAGAGTTGTGTGTCACCCTTGTGGATGTCAAATGTCTTGTGCTTCTGGGGGGTTTCGTTATGCTTTTACTCATTGAAATGCATCACATTTTTTTGCCCATGGCGCTTTACGTTGAAAGCTTAAGACTGGCCCCGATGTTAGATATCAGAATAGCCCATGGGCTTAACTGCCTTAAGTGTGTGCTGTCATGCATTTTGCGGCCGTTTACAACATATCGCATTGCTGTTTCATTAAACCAACCAAGCATTCCGCTCAGTTAAGAATTTTGTTAAAACTATCCATAAAAGCGCAATTCATCAATATCAGTGGACGCGAGTCATTCGATTCACACCATTGTCCTCGACTCCCAACAGTTTTACAACAAAGCTTACCATGGCTGTCGGAGGCCAGAGGTGCGTTAACCCTCTCATCTGCTCGTTAACTATCTGACGCTTCTCTGCGCTTTGTGGTGGTGCCACACGTCTGATTTCGAAGCGGCTTCTTATGCAGCAATGGCGGCGCATAGGCCTGAGGACGCATTAGGTAGATAATAATGCATAAGAAATTACAAAAAATGACATAACAATAAGCATAGTAGTAAATAGTTGCTCTGTAGCTTTATGCAAAGGCTATGCCACACGGCATAAACATCGCCTTACGTCGAGCACGCGCGACATTAGTGACGCAGTGTTCGCGCGTCACAGGACCAGACCACGCTGGGTCGATGCTGCCAAATGAGTTCATTTTGAATGCTATTCCGCTAAACCAAGTCACACATGCTTTTGCGAGTTGAGACTTGCACTTAATTACAATCTTGTGTTTCAACTGTAAGCTGTAGCCAACTTTAAGGTAATTACAATCTTGTGTTTCAACTGTAAGGTAACAACCTAGGCAGGCTTCCTCCAGAATTCAGAACGTTGCACACCGAGTGGCGCGGGCAGTATAACGCATAGATCAGCAAAATAGTAAATATGAATCACAGTGCATTAACATTGAATATACACGTGTAACTGGTCAATCCTTCCAATAAGTGATGCAACTTTCATGTTTCCTGGGCTGACAATATTTACCGTCTGCAATGAAATTGGCAAGTCTTAACTCTTGACAATAAAAAGTCCTACTTTAACCGAACACAAATAGCCAGACATGTGAACATGAAATATTCAAACATCCCATAGTGCGATGGATCTGATGGCGTTACCAAATCATGTCCTAGGTGTCACCGGAGACAATTAGCTTTGAAGCCGAATTATATCATGGATGTCACCAGAGATAATTAATTTTGGAGGCGCAATGACTAAATGGTGTAGAGCAGTTGACACCCTTGCGTGTGCCGTGGCGACTGGGTTTGAATCCCGGCGGTGCCATGACCTTGAGCGCTAACATGGCTCAAGGTCGCTGGCGCTACATATTGAAGCTGTAACGACGAGCGCCATGCGCCTTTCTGTTTGTTTTTTTATTATCAATTTTCCAAATTTGCAAAATGCATAAGCATCCTACCAGAGGACTTCATAGAAATTGTTCTTGTTGACAATACTGCTCTCATACACTCGCTCCAATTCATAATGTTCCGGTGATTGTAAACGTATATAGCACTGAGATGGTTCCATACGTAGAAATTTTGTGGTACGGTTTCTACCAGCTGTTTATAAATGGTTTAGAAATCGATGACAAGGTTTGAATATAGATGATTTCCTCTTAAGACAGGCATAACCGATGCTTGTTTGGAACGTTTTGGGCACTTCGGGTTTGCCGTTAGTATCAATGCGATGCTGAAAACGCCTTTGTTATTGTTTTTAGCAGACTTTCTGATGGAGCAGGGGCCCAAACTAATTTTACATTGCGAGTAATTACATTCAGCACGCGTGAGCATGTGACGCCTAGAGAAGGCGGATGCCCGAGACGACCAGGGGGGAGAAAAAAGTTTTCCTCTCTTCTTTCCATGAGAAGTCGTTTGTCGTTAGTGCTGCTTTGTCGCCGCGTTGCTTCGATTTGCCATTGTGCAGGTAACCGTTTCGTGAATGATATCTAGCTTACCTGCCAATACAAATGCTTTCTCGGGCGTTCCTTTCGCTGCTAGAGAAAATTGGGCCCTGAATAATAGCATTTCAGTCCCAAAACGTACTAAGCATCGATTTGTTGAGTTCGTTGTGATGTTTCCTTATGTGTCACTAGTAATATATATATATATATATGCATATATATATATATATATATATATATATATATATATATATATATATACATATACAATTTCCAATTAGGAACACCAGGGCTGTTAGCTAGCACCTTGCTGTTGTGCTCTTCTTGCCGCATGGCTTAATGCTTCTTTGTTCTGCATGTTTCGAATAATTAGTCACGATGTGTGGATTAATTGGCTTCTCTGAACTAGCAAAGCTGTAAAGAGTGTTCTCAGAACGCTAGGGAAGGCTTGTATGGCGTGCAGCTTAGCGAGCTGGTTTCGTCAGTTCGGTCACGAATACGGGTGTGGTCAAGCAAATCATAAACCTCTTTGGTCAGCCCTGATGTCCAGCATGCTACGCTGGGCCGGTACAAAGTAGGTTCAACGCTCAGAGGTTTATTAAAACATGTACAATCAGTATAAATAAAGTCCCCTAGCACTCCAGTTCGCTTTAGCTCTCAGAGGTCAATCCTAGAACCTAAGCCTGTAACGCAGCACAAGGCTGTTGTGTGGAACAGCCCTGATCCAGGTGCGCGCCCTCGACAGAAGCCAGGTCAGAGGGGTAGCGTCATTGATCGGTGGCCCATTCGTTCGATAGTGTGGCAGTGAAGCTCGACCGGGATAGAATTGAGCTGAACAGGTTTCTGTGCGGTCGGTTCTCTTCGCACACCTGGTGAGTAGGTGGCAGGCATCCATCACCCTTAGCCCGGATTAAGTAAGATTTAAGAAATAAACGGGTTAAGCTCAACGTGCGGCCACGCTTAGCACTGTCAGTCGTAGCCCCCCCCCCCCCCCCCCTCCCCGTCCCAGAGGGTCTAGAGATTTGTTGCAATGATTAAATCTAGTTCTAAATTTAGTTCTGAAGATCGTTGCGTTGCAATGAAAGCTTAGGACTAAATTTAAAAATTCGAAACAAAACTCAAATGTTGCGACCGATTTTACTTAGTTTATCTTGCCGAATCAGGGCTAAATGACGATGACCACTTACCATCCACTCGCCTGGCACGCGAAGAGAACCGACCAAACAGCAGCCTCTTCAGCTCATTTCGATTTAGGTCAAGCTTTACCTTCACACCATCAAACGGATCGGCCGGGTACCAATCCCTCCACCTCTCTGACCTGCCTGCTGCCGAGGGCATGCGGCTGGGTCAGGACTGCTCCGGACAGCAGCTTGGTGCTGCGCTGTAGCGCGAGGTCCCAGAATGGACCTATAAGACCTATAAGACCTATAAGACCTATAAGACCTATATAATGGACCTATAAGAGTTAAGGCGCACTAGAGCTTGCGGCAGACTTCATTTATGTTGTGATTGTGCCTTTGCCATTGGAACCGGCAAAATTAATAACGAACGGGAGGAAAACGACCCACCTGGTGTCCCTCCATATCACCAAGACCCTCACTCAAGCCTACGAATTCAGCGATGTGAACTTCCCAAGCATTTCCGCTGGGCCGCGTTACGAGCCATCGTAGGAAACATGGTTTCGGTGCTCGCCAACTCGACCACTCGATCCTGAGGCCCTGCGCGTCACAGTTTCTCAGCTCCAGCCTCGGAGTAGCGCCACTTGAAGCCCATCGGCTGTCAGATCGAGCCTGGGCTGTCAGTCAACAGTCATCAGCAAGGTTGCCACGCGAGGCTGCCGACAGCGCGTGCCAGGCCTTGATGAGCCACCGGTTGCGTTCTCTAGTGAGTGCGCTGTGATGACGACGCGTTGGCCGAGTCGGCTGCTGTTGCGTTCGAAGAGCGCCAGTGTGCGCCGCGGCCTATAGCGACCGGCTGCCGCCTGTCAAACACGGCAGTCGTTACGCGTCCGAAGTGGTGGCCAGTGGCCGCTGCCGTCTGTCAAACACGGCAGTCGTTACGCGGCCGCAGGGGTGGCCACTGGCCGCCGATGTCGTAGCCACGGCGCCGCAGGCGAGCCCACTGGTCAATACAGGACCGGTCGGGCGATGGCGATGTAGACCCAGTAATGCTTAGGTTTCGCAAATATTCAAAGGAATCAGTTGCGGATTGGGCAATGCGCGCTTTTGAACTGACGGGTCTGATGGAAAACGAAAAAGGCGACTGAGTTGCAAGGGCAACCAGCAGTCTCTTTCAGGCTTTTATGATTTCTTGCAGACCGTGCACATTTCTAACAGGAAATGGCACCCCACTTCACACAACTGGCTCTTACCGAAAGGGTGGACGACTGAAAAAAGAAAATGCGAGATAATTTGTGAGGGATTTCGCATGGTAACTAGCTGATTCATCCTCCAAGCATTCTCAAAGGCCAACGTCCCGCGCCCGCCGACCGAGTGACGGCATTTAGTCTGGGGCGGCGGATTGATTTGATTTGATTTGATGTTTATTTTTGATTGTGGACATTAAGCAGCACATAACATGAAGAGTGGGCTGGCGCATAAGCGGAACGCTTAAATCTGAGCGCCTCTCCTAACAATAACAAGATGTGGTCGTCGCCGCCAGTGAACCCACAACACACCGCTCACCCGCCTGACCCGTAAGCCGACAACGATCCGAACCCACGATCCGAACCCACGACACACCGCCCACTCGCCCGATCCGTAAGCCGACACGGGCCAGGCGGTTAGACCAACCCGCCTGGCATGGGCGTACGGTCTGCTGGAGCTGCGCAGCACTTCACATGCAGAGGACTGCTGGCCTGCTCAAGTGTTATATGACCACCGGCAGCGGTGGGTCAGTCCGGTGCCGGTCCGACCACATTGAAGCGCGACGGTGCCAGTGCCGGCTCACTGAGTCCCCTCCGTGCTGGACGACAGGTTCTCGTGCAGTGCTCCAAGACAGGTCTGTGGGACCTGTCGAGTTTCGGGGCGGGGGAAACGGCATCACGAGCTTCGGCGGACGGTGAGATTACCTGGTACGCCTGTCCGGCAAGCGTATCTGCCAGTGTAATCGTACATGTAAGATCCGCATGCCTCTTGGAGCACGATGTTGAAATACTTAAAATCCATGGAAATCAGGGCATAGTCTAAGCCGTCCGACAGCCAAAGTCTCGACTGGTCACTCGGTGCCCGTTCCGGGTCACTGACGAAGTGCCTCGTAGTGACGTCGCGCAGCGGCCTGCGCAGAGGGTAAACAAACCGTGTGGTGGCTACCCCGTACCACCAAGACACTACCTGGTATCGTTGAGTTTTGATACGTGCATCCAATGGTAGCAAAGCCTTCCACGTTGGGCTTACCATAGAGCTTGCTAACAAGAGAAGGTCGGCCAGGACTGGTGCCATAACATTTTTCCTTACAGAAGGCCTAGAGATAACATGTTTGATTAGCTTGTCACAAAATGTGTTTATTTTAGGCTCGTTTTTGAGCATCAACGGAATAAGAGCCATGCACATGCTACAAACATTCACCGGCACAAGTTAAACTTCATGAAGCCATGCGTCGCTCCTCGGCCACCGGCACAGTCTCTGCGGTGGGGGAGCAGCCGGGGGCGTCTGGATCTCAGCGGTGGGGCGCAGCCAGGGGACGTCTGGATTTCTACAGAGGGGCACAGCCGCAGAGTCTGGACCTCATGGCAGCATTTCTCGGAGCACAGCAAAGCTCAGTCCACCCGAAAATGGGACGAACAATAGCACAGCAAGCTTGAAACTGACTGCGCAGTTCAAGAGCGATGCGTGTGTGCGAACACGTGCACAAACGGCGCTTGGTTCAGTGGAGGTGGGCATGATCCACATCGATACAGTCCCGGCGGCCAGTAGTGCTGCGAGTGGCGTGCCCCAAATCAGGGTACGTCGCTGGGGTAGCAGCGCCCCGACTATAGCAGATGCATTTGAGTGATTTGTTCCTGGCAGATGCAGGCACTGCGGTGTTGGATGGTCCTAAGCTTCTGTTTCCTGAGGAATTACAGCCACGCTTTTGCCTGCCTTTTGCCAGCCGTGTCGTTTACAAAGGAGATACAGAGCAGCTCGTAATCATCCGTCTTCTACGTGCATGCCGAGCAGCTTCCAGTACATGCAGTTTGATGGTCATTGCTCACCGCCCGTATGTCCATATACCCACTTGTCTTATATCCCGCGTAGTCCGGTATCCCCACAACCCCTCTCGACACCTGGAGTTTGCTGTGGGCGTCAACGTTCAGACGGCCAAAAGACACTGGCTGCTATCCGCGACACCCGCGTTTCTTCGTCGCCGACATGGTAAAGCCCCCTCTCGGGTAAGTTGCCGCTATGAAACAAGTATTGGCTCTCCCTTTAACCCCGTGACGCTAAAGCAGTGCACGGGGCCTTGTAAAGCTTGAATATGATCACACTAAGGAGTTATACGCATTGCTATTTAGCTACGAGTTACAACAATCTTTAGACGCCCTCAACCACAGTGCAGAGTGCTGTAATGTCTCTGAAACGGTGTGCTTACATGCGAGGCCATTATCTGTCTGATGCTGATCCAGACCGAACTGCGCTGTTTCGTGAGGTGACAAACTCCTTGGCCCATGCTTTGCGCTCCCCTCCTGGAGCATCGCGGAATGCTCGTGGTCTCCGGTAGGCATACGGGCTTATTAATTCCAGCATGCCGCTCGCAGCGGGATTTGAGGCGCACTGTGGAATTCATGTCAGTCGATAATCGCTCGTAGGCCATTCACATGGCGCGCATGATGCATGGGTATGTGCTATGGGCCAATGTGTCGAATATTCATTGATGCCCACAGAGATGCGCTCGCTTGCTGCTTGTTAGGCAGGTTTACTATTTTACTTAAGAAACGTTAAGTGGTGTGATCTTGTGTCATCGCTTCGTAGAAGAATAAGATTCCAGACCAAATAGGATGTACGCGCATGATAGCCCTCCATTCTTCACGTTGCATTGCGAGAACCAATGTAGCGTTAATGTGATAGCCGCGATTCTTGCAAGCGTATAGAAACTGGTGGTGGCAAACACGCACCGAAATTGACAACCTAAACGTGCATTCCAAAAAAGCTGCTAAAAATAGCGAGTGACGATTCTCCGATCGTCAAAGGAAACTGTCAATAGCTCTTTTCCTAAACAATATCGGTTCAAATGTTCCACAACGCATGTAGGTGCATGACAGTTGCCGGCTGCTGCTAAGGTTCTGGATGAGCTGTGCTCCGCGCATGCCAGACAGCGTTGTACTGTATGTGACTGGACGTCTCCGTACGATGTTTCAGTTTCGCAAGGTACCTGACATGTTTTCTGAAGAGCACGGCTTGGTGTTCCGGTCGTTTGTCTACCTGTTTCAAGTTATCAACGAGCAGAAGGACAAGGAATTCCTGCTGAAAGCGTCCTACCTGGAGATCTACAATGAAAAGGTGCGTGGTTTCATGGGGAACACCGTCAGCATCGAACCGTAAAATATAAAGGAAATTGGAGAAACGAATGGCTGCATTTTATTTTTATCATTTCAGTATATATACAGCCTTGGTTTGAAATAATTAGTAGTTATGCTCAGATGGTTTTTTTATAAACGAAGCTTTCCACGCCACATGCCAATTAGGCGGTGATGGCTAACGGCTGGGGTGGAAAGTGGAAGGTAGTTTAGGTACACTCTCCCTTGGCCACCCTAAGCCAACTGACCATTTGTTAGGCTCTTTGGAAAGATTGCCCCGTGCTGCCGCTCACGGTTTCTTTGGACGGACGTTCTCAGTCGTGTTTGTTTTTACGCATGGACTTTGGACAGGCGTTCTCAGTCGCGTTCGTTTGTACACATGTACTTTGGACAGGCGTTCTCAGTCGTGTTTGTTTTTACACATTGACTTTGGACAGGTTCCTCAGTCGTGTTGGTTTTCACACATGGACTGCCACTATGACCGCGTGCGCGGCCGCACGCTGGGCAAAATCGAGTTCATACACGTCCTCCATGGGACCTTGCGACAGAAGTAAGCCGCTGGCTCCTGCTCTCACTGTAAGCCACTGTCTGTGCTCTCCAGGTGATCGATCTGCTGAATCCGGTCCAGCCTGAGCCGGGGAAAAGGCCACGGAGCCTGATGGTCCGGTGGTCCAAGAAAAAGCGCGCGTTCTTCGTCGAAAACCTGTTCACAGTAGAGTGTGAAGAGCTGGATGACCTTCTGGCGGTACTCGAAGAGGGTAAGAGAGCGTGTATTGCCATTGGCTCTGGAACGAACCTAATTGTTCTTATTTATTCTGTCTGATTTGTTCTGATTCACGGCCCGGACCAAAAAGAAGCACCTAACCGGAAACGCGGTTGCACATTTTATATTTCACGCAATCTAATAACGCAATAGCGATCTACCATTTCTAAATAAGTGATACTGTAGTTACATTGAACTCAGGATGCTCAGTGCTGGTAATGCATATCGCACGCATCACAACGTTGTATCAAAGTAGCGTATGTACCAGGATACAATTTTCTGGTCAGACTGGGGTAAGCCCACATTTTTGAACCGAATGGCCACTTAAAACGTATTGCAAAGGCTGTCAACATGCACGCGACGCGCTAAGGCGGGCGCGGCCTGGGCCTCAGTAGCATGTCGAGCATCGTATTTGTTTGCCGTGTGAAGCAAGTTCAAAGCGATTGGCACTGCCATTAAAAGGAGCGTGTCACATTTGGGGCGCATTTCAAAATGTACTCTGGTGAAGCCTCATGACCAGTTATGTCTAATAAGAGCACTGGCTAGTGCCACTGCAGCATCAGCTAGATTCTGTAATCGAATACATTGTAATTATTTTATAGTTCAAATTACGCGGTGAAACGTTTTGTGACGGCTCTAAATTTCATTCTTTCTTTGAAGCACCTGAGTTAATTTCTGGCCTGAAAATCTTGGCGCAAGTAAGACACTCAAGAACATTACTCAGCTCTCCTTCCTGTTCGCGGCGTGATGCGTGGCGGTCGTTTTTCAGCTTTGCTCCGGCTCTGTATTAGTCTTTTGTCGTTGTGGGGCAATGTGAGGGGGTGTTCCTATTATAATTTCATCACACAATACCCTGGCAGCATGAATTGTAATTTTTCTTGCCTGTTTTAACCATACAAGAGTAACTGGTACAAACGCCTTCAGTATTCAGTTCACGCGCGATAATTTAGGCTCCGCCCCTTCCTGTTGCCAGGAAGTGCTGCCACCTGCCAGCCGCAGTAGGGACAGATGGGGCGCGAAAACTGACCCGGATTTCCGCTCACGAAAGCTTGATGTGCGTCAGGATTGTGTTGTTAATGTTGTGAGGTTTTTAAGTCGTAATAACTAGTTGGTAGGTTAGGTTCAGTTAAGCTGAGGTTGGTAAGCTTAGGTTCAGTTAAGGTTAAAGGTTAAAAAGTTAAGGATGTCATTAACATCCCCCTCCCGGCGAGGGCTCGTTCAGCCTAAATTCCAGTGCTCTTCGTAGATCTGCCTTGTCTTTGACCTCCATACTACTGAATTCCCCAATCAGATCCCGTTTAAGCCTACGATATTTCTGTGAATACAAACCAAAGCCCCTAGACCAATCCTTATCTTCTAAGCTGCCAGTCCCATTAACCATCCTAGTTGCTTTTCATTGTACCCTTTCCAGCCTCTCTATATGTTTTTGGAAGCATGGGGGGCCAAGCCTGTACACAATTCTCTAGGTGTGGTCCGACAGAAGCGTAGTACAGCCTTCTGACGATATTCCCACACTTGTAATGGGCATCCCTGATAATAATTCCCGGCATCCGAAGCGCCTCGCTCTTAGCAGCCCCACTTAACTTTTGAGCCTAAATTTGTTGAAAATTTGTATCACTGAAACCTTCTTTTCTCGATATGGTTCGACTCCCGAACTTACGTTTTATAACTAACGTCCCCACTGCTAGAACTACCCAAATACATCATCTTACACTTGTCATAATTAAATGATATCTGCCAGAGAGAAGCCCAGTTCACTAATTTCTCTAATTCAGGCTTCACGCCGTCGGTCTTTTTCGATATTTCTTCTGCTTAAATAACGTCAGCAAATTTTAGCGCCTTGCTTTATCATCCTATCTCAATATTATTCACGACAGTGATAAGGAGCAAAGCGCCTAAAACCGACCGATTTTGAGTCACTCTTTCTATTAGCTACCATTGAGACTTCGTGTCATTCAGCAGTACGCTTTATTTCCTGTTTAGCAGCCAAGCCTTCACTCAGTCAAGGAGTTTTCACTCAATGCCATACAATTTTAATCGATATAACAGAGGCTGGTGTGGCACCTAATCAGACACCTTAGTAATACCTAGTTGAACAACATCCAAACTATTGCCTTTATCAATCTAACTAGTAGCATGCTCTATGAACTCCAGCAGACTTGTCAGACGAGACATTCTAGAAAGAAAACTGTGCTGACCGTTAGTTATCATCTGATGCCTATCTTAGGTGACTGAATGCTAGCCTTCATAAATTTCTTTATAATATTGTACACTAGTGAGGTAAGACTGACAGGCCTGTAGTTGCTAGCCCTTCTTTGGTTCCCCTCTGAAATATCGGTACTAAGTTGGCATTTTGCCAGTCCACGGGTACTCTGGGGAGCTCAATGACCCATTAAATATTTGCACCAGGGGACAAGCTAAAGTACTAGCATGTTTATTCAGCGCTCCACCTAATATATATCTGGTCAGATCCAGGCTCCCTATCCAGCTATATTCACCGCAAGCCATCCCTTACCATACCTTACCTTACCTTACCTTACCATACCCTCGGTCACCGTCAAATCCACAACACTGCCTTCAGGCAGATTTGCCTTTCACCAGGTAGATCACGCACAGTCTGCTTTGCAACCAGTAAAGAAAAGTGTTTGCTAAGAGCATCTCCAATATCCCAGTCGTCCACTAATGACTTCCATCTTCCTCGAAGAGGCCGATAGAGGATCCCTTAGATTTAAATTTGTGGTGGCTAAAACGATTCTAAACATCGCTAGGGCAAGCGTCTTGTAGCCGTATTTCTAATAATTTTTTGCCACCCTAATTTTATTTTTAGCTTTTTTGAAGCAATCCTGTACGTTGCCTTGTTGTTTTCTGTGTCTTACTTTTTTGCCCATGATATGATCAAATTGAGCACTATCTGTGTCAGCCATGGTAGCTTTCGTGAGCCACTTCCTCACATTTTCCTAAAGGGAATGTGTCTTTCCTGACCTGCTTCTAGAATATCTTTGAACACTCCTCCCTTGTGGAGGAGTGCTCACACAGTGTGGAGAGTTTCTTCACTGCATATCAGGCTCCTGATATGCGGTCAATCCAATAGGGATATCTTTCCACTGGCAGCTAGCGAAAAAGACTGCAAGTTCTTCAAATTTACCTCTAGCAAACTTTGGAGTAAGGGTATGATTAGCGTTGCCTTAAATAACCTAGACACAATGAAAACCTTGTCATAGCATGGCCAATATTTCCCAGTGGCTCACCTACTGTCAAAACATCTATACACCATTTCTTGTCAGTCGATACGAGATCCAACACTTCATCTCCCCTAGTGAGTCTGCACATCAGCTGTTGAAAATTTTCTTCAAAAGAAGCAAAAATATTTTTGTGACCAATTGACAACTGACCAAAATCTACGCCCCTAAATAGAGTTGGGGGGAGGGGAGTTAAACAGTAAAAAAGCAACCCAACCTGCCTCAAACGTGTGCCAAAAACGGGGTTCTCCACGAATTTTTCCACTTTCGTCACGAAGTTAGGGGGGGGGGGTGAGGGGGGGATGAGGGCGGCGAATTCCCTCCCAACTGAATGGGAAGCTTCACCCCTGTACTCGCCTATATTTTTCCATAAGTAGAGCCTTTAGGCCTTAATGACATTGATTGCACAGGCGTTCCAGCAAGTGAGTGCATTGCAAACATTACATAACACACAAGTGAAAACAACAGTTAAGTAATTGAAACATATTGCGTTCGTTGTGGTAAACAGGGATTCGATAGCATTTCTCCGGGCTAAGCGGCAACTTCAAGACAAAATTTTGAGCTATTCAGAAGGTTTTCAAGGAAACTGATCATGCCAATCAAATTGGACGCGTCTGATATATCCATCATTGAGAGGTACAAAAGCGGGCAGGCACGTTCATTTCTACCGTTAATGTGTTGCTGAGGCTCTGATTTAAGGTCGATTCGTACAACGACCCGGGAGGAAGGACCCATGCCCTGCGGCTTCCATTAAACAATCCCTTCGTGCATGATCCCGTTAAGTTTGTTTAACTCCATCGCTTTTTCATTTCACCACCCTGCTGGTCTTTCCTGTGAGACGTGGCTCAAACTCGGTTTTGGAAACTGCATGGAGCGATCCCATCACTACAACAGTTCGCTGCGCTTTCTGTTTTTTAACTACAAGTGCACAAGCCTTAATTTTCACGTTCAGGCTCTGAATCAGACTTCTTGGCCCGAAGTGTGTGGAAGAGCTTCCATGCCCAGGCTGGGGGTGCGTGCCCGCGGCGCGGGCTGGCGCCCAGTTTGTGTGTTGCCAGTGCCGGTCGATGGCGGTTACATTGTGTCGAGCTACTGCGACGGCCGGTCCGCTGGGTCACCATGGATTTATCGAGCGACCTCACCGTCCGGCAGCTGCCCGGGTGTGTGGCACAGAGGACCAACGACCTGCGGGTCGTGTTAAAAGCTGAGGCCAGTGTCACCGTCCAGTGAACATCACAGCATGATTGTGTGCTGTACAGTCACGCTGGTCACGTAAGGGACATTAACACATGGTTGTACACTAGGGTGCTTTGAAAGCAAGGTAGCTGTAGTGTTAAGAGACAGAAGCACTGGTGCACCCGCCGGACATAGGCAAAATAAATATGTGAGTGAGTGTGTCATTGGCGCTTTACGACGCACTCAACTGCTGAGGCTAAATGGCGTCGCCTGCCTCTCACCCTGGCAGGAAGGGCGGGCACCGCGGGGAATCGAACACCGTACCTCTGGTTTCCCAAACGCGCAGTGGTTAACGCAGGAAAAAATAATATAAAGATCCACCTGATTCGCGTTGTAACTATGCACGTCCGTAATCCTTTAACACAAAACCAGCGACATTCAACAATGCAGTCTCCTTTCGCTAATCTTGATGTTGAGTGCGAAAAAACTGCCGGCTTTACCACGGACGAGATCTGATCTTAAACCTCTCGTAGCAAAAGTACTGTGGCATCAATGCGGGCGATAGTGGCCGAAGAAATAAATCTGTTCTTTTCAGCTGCTATTGTAAGGAGACCAGTGTGCAATGTGCAGCATGCACCGAAATCATTGCACGCTGCACGCGTGCTACGGATTGTCCTCCGACAAACCAGCCTATCGAGATGATTCGGATCTCCAGCTGTTAAGATTATTAATGCAGAGTATTAAAGATTGTTAAATAATTACACTGCAGATGATCACACTCAGATGCCACTGGTCCAGCCAGCTGCTATAGTATAAACCACTTTATAAGGCTGTCTGGCGCAGGGTGATGCAAACCGTTGCAAGCCTCTAAGGTCATTCAACTCCCCAAAACAAGATTGGCCACTATACTGGCAGTCATTGATCACTGATCACGCTTCAAGACAAGTAGGGCCGAGACATTCGGAATGTTCATAGCAGAAGTAGTCGGCAAACGTCAGTGTGCGTCAGTGAACAGAACGAAACTTTTTCCGATGCCAATAGCCCTGCATTTGTTCTCAGTACTTAGCACGTGGACATAGTTCACCAAAACTTACCGCCCTACGGGCAGCCTGCTCGGCGAGTCCTGCACCCAGCCTCGCTTCGGTACAAAACTGTTACCTGTTGATTTCTGGACGATGCTGTCAGGCTTGGCTGCTTGTCGTCAGACTCATATCTTTCTGCAACACGTGCGGTTTAAAGCGCGCTAAACAGGCCCAGACCATCCAGCGTCTCGCGCCACCTCTCATGTAGCGTCTGGCGCCACCCTTGCGTAGTGTCTCGTACCACCCCTCACGTGGCGTTTTGCACCGCCCCCCCCCCCCACGTAGGGTCTCGCACCACCACCCATGTAGTGTTTCGCGCCACTCCTCCCGTTGCGTCTTGCACCACTCCTCATATAGCGTATTGCACCCCCCCCCCCCTCGCGTAGCGTATCGTGTCACTCCTCCCGTAGCATCTTGCGCCTCCCCATGTAGCGTCTCGCGCCACTCCCACGTAGCGCCTCGTGCCTTCCTTCACGTGGCGTCTCGCTCCGCCCCTCACGTGGGTAGGTCGTCCCGTGGGTAGGGCGGCTCGGCGACGGCAGTGCGGCAGTGACGTGCGGCGCAGTCTAAGCGGTGGGCGCTGGCGGCAGTGCCGTGCGGCGCAGTCTATACGGTGGGCGCCGGGGGAGGGGGCAGTGTCTTGCGGCGCAGTCTATGTGGTGGACGCTGGCGGCAGTGTCGTGTGGCGCAGTCTGTGCTGTGGACGCTGGCGGCAGCGTCGTGAAGCACAGTCTGTGTGATGGACGCCGGTGGCAGTATCGCAATAAGAAAATCTCTAAATTTCCTGTGAGAGATAGCCCAGACAAAGCCGGCAGGCTGAAATGCACCGACGTAGTGTATCAATTCAAATGCAACATCGAAGGCTGCAAACTTCGTTCTACACGCTACACCGGTGTGACCACGACACTCTCACGACGCCTGACAATGCACTTACGTGACAGGGCACGTCTGGATCACATGGACACGGACATGGCAAAGCATGGATACGACAACAACGGACAGACAACACTGACATTTTACAGACATCCAGTGGCAGAACACGCATTCAAATTTTGAGAAGTATATCTATTAACGAGCTCTCTCCAGCCCAAAACAGACAAGCAAGTTCTTGTGCACCGGTTTAATTATTAGGTGATAGGCGGTGAGCATCAATGATGCAATTGTGGCAACGTGTTAGTTTCTTCGTAGTGTTCACATGTTGAGTGTATTTTACATGCACAAAAGTAAAAATAGTATTCTGTCTTACTTCCATTGGTCATGTTTCATTTGTGCACCCCGTACCAAAATATTTTTTCCTAGAAGCGCAGAAGTTTTGTTCTGTGTATATATATATATATATATATATATATATATATATATATATACACATAAGCATATTGTACATATGTAGGTATATATACATACGTATGTATCTAATAGCCAACGAAATATATACATTCGAATAAAAACTCCTTCATTTTAATATCCTTGAAGAGGCAATGCTCCCAATATGCGCAGTATACGAATATTTAATGTATGTGCGCATGTATGTGTAAGAATATATATATATATATATATATATATATATATATATATATATATTATATGGTGTGTATACAAGCAAAATTGCAATAGATATTGAGTCTTTCGTGCACCGCATCTATGCTACACATTCCATCCGAACTAATAAATGTTGTATCGCCCGCTCAGTGCTCTAGTGAGCTAAAGCAAATAAGAACGCAATGATTCATCAGGTTTTTTTGCCTGATGTTTGACAGATGGGTGTTTGAATCAGCTGGTCCTTCAGGTCTGTCCTTGCTCCGTAATATGTTGGGTGATCGTCTGTAACCCTGCTCCGGGTAGACTCCCCGATACCCCTATTCCGGGCGAGAAGTGAAGGCAGATTCGTAACCTTGGAGGTGAAATCGGGGACATCGATCAATTGGGGACACAATCGAGTAGACATTTTCATCGGGCACCGTTGTCATGTTTATTAACCGTTTTCAACGCAACCAACGCACATCAGTAGACCAGGGTTTCAACATTGATGTATTGGAAATTTTGTAAAGTGAGAATTCATAAGCATATCCAGGAGATGCGAAACCAGGTACTGAAAAATTGTTTCAAAATCAGGGATAACCCAACATTTTGTCATTAGCGAAAGCAGAGTTTCTATGCACTGCCTAACTTCATTGCGTTCCTGTTGAATGCGTAGTCGACGCAGGTAGTTCTGGGAACCCTGCGAACTCCCCACCAGGGGCATGTTGGGAGCTGATCGCGAACAGGTTAGAAAGCACAATCGAAACGCCTCGTTGTCGGAGCTGATCTTAAGTATTCGCTAACCAGGAAATTAGTAAACGGTCAGAACATCCAGACGAGAATCGCACTGAAATTGTTGTCTTAGTAGTTCATATTATATGTGCTGCTGTTTGTGCTTGAACGCACTTTGTGACACGTACATAACGTGGTGTGGACAGGTGCCATGCGCCTGTCTAGTTTTTTTTAGAGGAAGGAAGTACGGATACGCGACTGGAGCGTGCCTCGGTGCCGCGACCGTCAGCTGACGGCCCACTGTTGATGACCACGGTCTCCGTGTACTGCGACCCCATCTCCTTTTTGCATTCCCTGTACTCGCTTCTGCCGCGTGCGTGTGCGTGTGTGTATTTACCAAAATATGAATACCAGTGCTCAGAACTGAAATCAGTATGACGGGCCCACGGCTTCTACAAATGCACACCAGCATAATCACGCTGCCCACTGTCAAGATAGGGTTGTCCAATGTCCATAGCTCGCACTGATTGGCACGAGCCAGGCTGTGCTGTAGCTGACTGCACTTGTCACACTTGGTTACAGGGCTTCGCAACCGAGCAGTTGCCAGCCACAACATGAACGAGTTCTCCAGTCGCAGTCACACGATCCTCACAGTATACATCACTTCAGAGCAGAAGGTAATCGGTCTCGGCACTTTGATCAAGATATCTATTCTACTGGTTAATGGTCGAGGCCGTGTGCTGCCGATACAGTAGAATATTGCCGTCGATACAGTAGAATATTGCTCGTCGTTATCCGCTTCAGCAAACCACGCTCTTGTGGCAAAGCGCTCTTTACGAGCTGAATTTATGTCGTCATTAATCCCATAACTTTTCTGGTGTAGCATTTCTAAGATCCCAACCTCAAATTCTACATAATAATGTTCTAAACTCGTCTTTGTGGGTTCCAATGTCCAATTCATGGAAGTAAATTTGGTCAAAGGTTTTTTGCACTCTTGAATTGACTTGGATTGCGCCGGAATAGCTCAGGCTGTGTTACGTTTGTTTCATTGATTAATACTCAGGAAGCTATATTTAACCTCCGACAAAGATATGCGAATCTTCCAAAGCAACAGTGCCGGTGTAAAGGTGCGCCGTGTTCGCCATTGCTGACCTCGCATCGAGGCATGCCACGTCCATTGATTGCATATGAAGATCCGTCATGCGCACGTCTGCACATGTTATTCACTGTTCTACTTCATCGCCGGGTTTCCTCTGCGCGAGCACAGGCGGCAGATGACTCGGACGTCTACATATCCAAACTGGGCAAGCTGAACTTCGTGGACCTGGCCGGCAGCGAGATGACGAAGAAGACCAACAGCGAGGGCAAGACACTTGAGGAAGCCAACAACATCAACAAAAGCCTCATGGTCCTCGGTTAGTTGTACCATTTAGACATATTGCCTTTTGTCCCTGGTGTTCGGTATCGGCGTTAACGAAATGACTCAGAACATCTTGCGCCATTCCCGAAATCAGATTGCTGGCTTTGGGGCACATCGCATCCCACTCAGTCTAATGGTTGGTCGTGCACGGGGTGCACTTTAGTTTGTGTCTCTTCCAGTCACCTGCGCTCGTGTGCCCGCCTTTTGTGTACGTCTGACGTCTCTGTCATGTGCGCAGTGGACGTCAAAACCAAATAGGATCAATGGCAAATGTGTTTTTAGTATGCCGACTACACCATAATCTTACAGTGCGAATAAACACATTGGCTGGGAGACGGTATTTAGCCATTTACAATCTGGCTCTGTACAACCAAAAAATAAGCCATGTATGACTTCGATGTGGCTAGGGATATCTCTAGTGGTTCGCATTATCAACAAAGCAGGATCGCCTCCCACCTTTTAAGTCATGCATCTTTCAGACACTTGAAACTTCACATGAACTAAGCTTGTTCTGGGTCGGTACCTATTGGCCGTGCGTCACGAAACATCGGTTTTCCGCTCCTCTGGGCCATTGCTGACGCTATATAGTTGGTCAGTCTGATTTAAAGTTGATGGAGCATGGTGGAGCTTTTGCGTTTTAGTTACATATTGCAAGGCTGCAGCATCTCCTAACAAACAAATCCTCAGGGAAAATGTTTTGGAAGGGGCAGGGCGGGACAGGAGGCCAAGACAAATCTTCCTGTCTGCCCGTCATTCGTTCTAAATGTTGCAACATGTCCGCTAACTTTCGGCCGTAACGTGGGTTTATTTGGGAATCCAGTACACGACCGCGCTACCACGTAATGATAACACTGCATCCCATGGTGTTGCGGTACTGTGAGTGCAAGAAACGATGCAGATGTCTTAGTTTCTCCGTCGTTGTACCTTAGTTGACAAGCATGGCCTGGCAATAACCTGCCCTAGCATCGATCCGGTCAACGATCTCAAAAGGCTGTAGCTTATTTCGGATACGAGAGCCATGGCTGTCAGCTATCTACCACTGCCCCAAATTTTGCGTCGGCACGCCGCTCCGTTTAATTTTTATAAGGATAAACCTTACTGGGGATGCACCCCACTCCGCCCGATCGCACGCTAACTTTGTCATTTCGTTTATCGCATGGGAGCTGGGCGTGGCAGCCGTGTAGTGCAACTCAATTATAGCGTTTACCAGTTCTGGAAAATTGTTGGGACGTTGTGAACCAAGCCTTCGTCCAAAGGCTATCAACTCATTATCTTAATGATGGCGCACTCGCCGTGAAATATAAGAGCCGGCGTCCCCCATTCGGCCCGAACCCGTTCCTCGCCCTGGCCGACACGAACGACGCGGGTCACGTGACGCTCGGCAGCGACAGGCCGTTCACCCGGGCCGTGACGCTCCCCCACCATGCAGCGGCCGGCGGTGTCGGCGTATCGACCTGCCCGGACACCTGGCGTCCACCGGCCCGGTGACGGTCACCGGCTGTCGATACCGACACCGGCGCGCCGAGCAGCCCGCCGGCGCCGCACGGACCCCGTCACTGCCAACACAGCTGGTGCTGGGCAGACCAGTCGCCAGTCCTCCCACCAGCCCACATGGCTCTGGGCAGACCTATCACCAGTCCTCCCGCCAGTCCACATGGCTCTGGGCGGACCTATCGCCAGTCCTCCCGCCAGTCCACATGGTCCTGGGCAGACCAATCGCCAGTCCTACCGCCAGCCCACATGGCTCCGGGCGGACCAATCGCCAGTCCTCCCGCCAGCCCACATGGCTCTGGGCAGACCAATCGCCAGTCCTCCCGCCAGCCCACATGGCTCTGGGCAGACCAATCGCCAGTCCTCCCGCCAGCCCACATGGCTCTGGGCGGACATATCGCTATTGATAGCAATGGAACGGTTCCTTCCCCGCCTACGCGGGGCAGGAGCAACCGCTACTATCCGGACATACACACCGCCCGCCTCTCTTCCCCTGCCTCTTATAACGCAGCTCATGCCCACGGACCTTCACAGGCAGCTGCTAATTACAGCATGTCCTTAATATGTGAGGGTGCAGCCACTCGCGCTATGAACGGATTGCGGCTTACAGCCCACTACTCAGCAGCAAATTAATTGGATCGTGCATAGTTTTGTCAAAGTTTGGAGTTTACAAACTTTGCGCCTTTTCATCAATACCAGGCTTTAACAGGCCGTCAAATGTATCCCCATTATTGATGCGTTGCAGTTTTTGGTGCAAGTTATGGTAATTTGCATTGTCGACATATATTCACCTTCGCTCGTGGGTTTCATAGGGAACAATTAAAACTTTGGGACCCGCAAGCAAACTGAACAGCCTGTTTCCCCCTATCCTCTCCGACCAACCTAGCAACCGCATTTTAGTGTGTATAGACGTGGAGGATACCGTAAATGCACATTTGGGTCGTGGCGTCACGCAAATCCCTTCGTTCGTTTCAGGAACGTGCATATCCAACCTAAGTGACCCCAAGAAAAAGACCGGCCACATTCCGTACCGGGACAGCAAGCTGACCAAACTGTTGGCAGACAGTCTGGCTGGCAGCGGAGTTACACTGATGGTAAACATTGGCCGCCATAATCCTCGCTCAATAGATGATCGATTTCGGTCGCAGTGACCCTAACCCTCTCTCTGTTCTCTCTGTCCTCTGTCTCTCTCTGTCCCCCCCCCTCCTCTCTCTCTCTCTCTCTCTCTCTCCTCTCTCTCTCTCTCTCTCTCTCGTCTCTCTCTCTCTCTCTCTCTCTCTCTCTCTCTCTCCTCTCCTCTCTCTCTCTCTCTCTCTCTCGCTCTCTCTCTATCTCTCTCTCTCTCTCTCTCCTCTCTCTTCTCTCTCTCTCTCTCTCTTTTCTTTCTCCGAAAACCTGCGAATGTTTTGCATCGTCAGAGGGTTACAACAAAGCCTTCTCCAAGCACAGCTGTCTGGCATCGCAACGTCTTTCCTCAGATCGCGTGTGCTTCGCCGGCGCGGAGTAAAGTCAGTGAGTCCCTGAACACGCTGAGGTACGCATCCAGGGCTAAGCGGATCAAAACCAAGCCTATCATCGTCATGGTAAGTGAAAATATGACTGGCCATGACGGGCTCCCGTATGGTCATTGGCGCTGCTCAGTTGTATGCGTATGATCTCCGACATCGAGCAAGGAGTTTCGGGTCCGAACACAAGACTTTGTACGCATGCCTTCGTATTGTGTACATTTGTATAGCGTTTCCTTGTGCGCAAATTTTCGTGAGCACAAATCTTCGTAAACCCCAAACATGTGTGTGGACAGATATTCATAACCGCAAAGTTTGCAGCCACAAAACTTATACATAGTTCTTCATACCGCATTTCGTCGTACTTGAATTGCTTTGCATCGCATCTATACGCATTCATATTTATTCGTTTGTGATAACTTGCTTCGCATTTCTTTGTATGCACAATTTTTCCCATTTTTCTCTTGCTCACGCTTTTCTTCGCTCATGCACTCCTTTGCACTGCCATTGTTCTCATACACAGTTATTTGCGCCGTATTTCTCCCGATACGCATCTCCTTGTGTCCAGTCTTTGGTACGCGCTGTTCTTTCCATCGCAAATATTTCAGTTTGCAAGTTTTTAGCCGGAACTAACCACTCCCCAGTGGAATGGGCTTGATCACACAGTGAGTAAGTTAATGTATAAGTCGTGCGTAGTCCTAAAATTCACAGATGTAAGACTGGGTAAGATAACATACGCAATCTCATTATATCGAAAGAAATGTGTCCAGATAATCATAAATGCAGCAACCAGACGTTTGGGTCTTGCAGGTTTCAGAGGGCCAACTACAACGATTATCACGCATTGGCTCACGGGTGGCGTTTTACCAACGCATTCGCATACCTGCAGGAGCGACGGACTGACTGTAGCATGCATCAGCTACGCATGGTTTAGCTTAGAAATAGCATCATAATAAACATGTTAGGGTTACAAGATCATTTCTTCCAGCTATGGTTGTAATATTATGACTACGGAATTGGAAAAGAAAGGGACGGCGGTAACGAACAACGCAACAACAGGGAAAATAAGCAAATGTAGGTCATCAGTCACTTTATGAACGATGTTCGAATTACAGAATCTCCACTGTATTTAGCACCGTCAGTAACACGCTAGGCTAGATGCCGGCTAGATGCCCTTCTCTCGGGTGGGGGTCAATTTGACCCCCTTGAGCTCTCGAGAATTAAGAAAGCTAGAGACACCAAATGTACAGGGTGTGTTGACCTGTATGTGAATTAACTTAGGTCAAAGTTTCAGGTTCCTAGGTCATGACCTTCGGGTAAAAAGCTTTAACAAGGTCAAGTTCCAGGTTGGTCTCCAAAGTGCCTCAGAACGGAGATAACCGTTTCTAAGCAAAGGTCACATGCTCATTCAAGGTCAGTGACCTTGTTTGACCTTTTGAAGGTCAAGGTGACCAAAATCGTACAAGATTGCTTTGAGTTTTGCATTTGACTAAGCGACAAAGATTACATCAGGCAATATGCTCCTAAAACAAAATGTTAACCTGGATCTTTTTAGGTCAATGACCTATTCTGACCTCTGAAAAGTCCATGGAAGACGTATTATGTGGTTCCTGCTATAAATAAACTCGAAATGAACACTGGAAACTATCCCACACAGCAGGCCCTAGAGTAACAAAACAGGTTGGTTTTAACCTTGGTGCGACCTTCATACCTGACCTTAGGTCAATGTAATTTGCTTATTCAGTTGTTTTGTTACCTAAGAAAGCATCTCAGATATGTATGACTTCGTCTAACACTCCGTTGTTGGATCAAATTGAAGGATTCCTTAGCAATTGCTTTCGCCGAAACCATGACCTGACCTTGACCTGCTATAGGTCAGCGACCTTACAAGGTGCATCCATTTTTTATGTCAAACGAGCCGCTATTCAGTCGTCTACAGCTACGCAAAATGTGGCGCGGCTATGCCGCGTCGTTCGGAAACCATTCTGGAAAAAAACCTTCGGGGGGGTCAATTTGACCCCCCCCCCACCCGAGCGCGTGTTAAGCTTGTCCTGCACGCGAAGAAGAGCAGTGTGAAGTGCGGGATATTAATAAAGAACACGATTCACTGCATACGGTGCCGTAGCACGCACACACTCCCCCACCACACATCCTGCTGCGTGACGCCCTATTATCCACGCCGTGCAGTACCCGGCGAACGCGGCGCCCCAGCTGGTGGTTAGGGGCGGCCTCCCAAACACTTCCCTTTGACTTAGTTACGGGAGTTTTCGATTGGGCTCAGCTTAGGCGCAGTTGGAAGCTTTTTGTATGTTTTTCGTAGAGGACTAAATCTTCCAGAACCCTTATCCATTTGACTAAATTACGGAAGTCCTCGATTGTGCTCAGCTAAGGCGCATATGGAAGCTTTTTGCACGTTTCTCGTAGGAGACTGAATCTTCCATTCTGCATCCCACTGGCATAATACAGGGCGGGCAGATTCGGTCAGAGCACATGTCCACCACTGGCGGATATATTTTCGCAGGTAAGGCAGTAGTAACCCCTCCCGTTGATGTTTTTCGCTGTACATGGGCTTGATCGCGGTCACCGCACCCGGTCACCTTACCGACTGGGACACCCCTGTCGGGAAGGTGGGCGCCCGCCCGAGAAACTTTCTTGGTACATTTCCTAGTACTTTCCCAGGTAGATTCCCAGTGGGTCGAAATCTTGTATCAGGGGCGTCTCCACCTGGCCTAGAACACTAACCTTGGTTGAGGAGCGTGCCATTTCTGGTGTTGTGGAAGGAGAGTTTTCGTGATTTCGTGGTGCATCATTGATTTTGTTCTCAGTGCATCGTATTTCATGCAAAGGCCTGCGTATATGAAAACATGTGATGAAAAATCGTGTACAAAAAAAACAATGCGAAGAAATGCGACGTAGAGAGTTGCGTGTGTGCAGTTCTACGGATACGAGGTGTTACTTCCGCGATGTTTTGCGGATACCCCTACCGATATGAGATATCAGATATCTGCAGATAGCGTTACTGGGTCTGCTGGATAAACGTAACTGGATAAACATGAGCTGCGTTAACACAGCTGCATGTGGAGCAACAGTTTTTCAACCGAATTTTGGGATTTGGCAAACATTGAACAACCCATACGTGGAATATTTACTGAAGGAGACTGAGGTATTTACAAAAGACGCACAACAAACTTTTACAAAAGACACACAATGACGGACCATGCCCATAGGTAAGCGGCATCCCCATGTCCGAGAGAATGCGATCCAGTTCCTTAGGTCCATCGACACTGGTTCGAGCTCCAGGAGGAAATGCTCTGTTATGGCGGTACATCGCTGATGCAGCAGACTCCGATTGGGGGCCCCACAGTGCCTGACAGGACCCATGTGAATAATGGATATAAATGTTGAAGTGCAAAAATTGAAAGGTTTGCGTTATGAGACGCTTAGGGTGATTTTGGGAGACGTTTTGGAATAATGTGCCCATGTCCAGCATAATGTTTCCTAATTGACTCAATCCTTTATCTGGTTAACTTAAGTCGCACACAAAGGAAAAATGACAGATTTCCTGTGTTGCTATATGTCAGTGGCCTGTCTTCTTGCCTGGATGTCCTCCCAGTCCGGAACGCAACTGACAAGCCGTGTAGCTGCAATCCGACCGACTTTCATTCACGTGTATATGTGCTTGTTAACTTAGGCCGCTGAGGGCGCAACTCTGTACCATGCTTGTTCCCTGGCTACTGCATCTGTGCCATTTCGAGTGTGTGGTAACCGTATGCGTATGGGCACTGGTGCTCGCTGATCGCATGGCTCTCGGCTGTTTACGGTCAGCGGCCGCGCGGGCGTTGGCTCTGCTGACGCTGCTCGTTGGCCGGCCGCAGGACCCGCGCGAGGCACTCATCCTCAGTCTGAAGCGCGAGGTGCACATCCTGCAGCAGGAGAATGACCATCTGAAGCTACTGGTCAAAATCGGCGCCCACGGCGAGACGGTTCCGCTCTCCAACGGCGGCACGCCCGGCACCGGAGACCCCGCCCGTCAGTGATCCCCAGCCCGTTGGTGGCTCCTCTTACGCGCACGGGGCGACGCCCGAGCCGGACTGTGCGTTGCCACTGGAGCTAAACACCGAGTCGACCCAGCTCCTTAGTCGGGGATATGTTGCAATCGCCTTTTGGCGTGACTGCTAATTTATTGGACGGACGCAAGCAACGTTCTAACTGCAGACGTGGTGTTCCATCCCAGTCACCACTGAGAACATCGTGCAGCTTTTGCGTTTCTGCGGGAAGCGGCTGACAGTTCCGTGGTTCTCTTCCGTGTCTGCTGAGCTGTTGGGTTGACATTCTTTTCCTTGGAAACCGGCCCGCGTGGGTCCAAGCAGACGGGCTATATTCAGCAGCCCGGGGTTTGTTTGACCTGTCCCGACCTTCAGCCCGACTGCAATTTCACCCACCTCCGTTTGGCAGTGTCTGTCTGCCAGCGCTCACGCGTACTGACAGCTGACCCGACTCCGCGGTCGGCGCAGCGGTGCTACTTGTGCGGCCTGACAACGAACCCCGTGTCTGGCAGAAATAGCCCTGTTTCCCTGTCATGCTGACCATCCCCCCCGACAGGCCGGCGTCGTTCGGAGCAGAAGCTGGCGATCGACAAGGAACGGCTGCAGGAGCTGAAGACGGAGGAGCTGATCGAGCTGCTCCAGGAGTACATGGCCAACAACACAGCGCTGCGCGATGAGAACCTGGACATGCACACGCTGCGCGACGCCCTGATGCGCGACCAGGACGTGGTCATTAAGGAGAACGAGCGCCTCCTCCGCAAGCTGGAGGAGATCAACAGGTGTGTCTGCCGCGGTGGCCTGGCGACGCCGACCGCGTCTTCAGCAGCATTCGCAGCGAGCACAACCAGCCAGCATGGCGGCGCTGTACGGCGTCAGGGATGACCCACCGCACATTGCCAGATTATACATGGTCGATATCTGTTGGTAGTTAGTGACCGGCAGTCGAACAGTGCCGGGTATGGAATGTTTTCTCAAGGTCTTTAAAACTGCACTTCACGAAGATTTCGTCATCACAGGACCTCCTGATTAGGACACTGGACATGCTTAGGACTCAGAACTATCAGTGGTATCGCGCCGGAGATATATGTGATTGGTTGTGACAAAAGAGAAAATTCATCGTCGTAACAAAACCGAAAATTCAAAACAGGGCCGTTTTGGCAGCCCGTAATAGCCCGCGCCAACAACTGACCGCTGTTTCAGTACGTGCAGCCGCTCACCAATCGTGCCGGCGCGTCCGTCCTTCTCGGCCGACCTGGTGCTGCAGAGCGTGAGTCAGCCCTCCTCCCTGCCCAACACGCCTGAGCGCGCCGCTGCCGGCCAAGTCAATGTCTGGACCAATCCGCGATACGTGAGTGCAGCTAGGTCAGGTCATACTCCGGATGACCCCGCCCTACGTGAATGGAGCTGAGCAGTGCGTCACCAGGTTTCATAGCTTGGGTACCAAACAGTCCTGTTCGTGAACCAACCAGCCCGCCTGGGTACGAGACTGGTTCTTCTGGTACCGATACAAACCGAAAACAAACCGATGATTTTGATGGCCAAGGCGGTGAAACCATGGTAACACCGCTGGCAACAGGCGTTACACAAGGCCCCTGTCCACGCCCCTGGTGCAGATGTTTGCTCAACATCTGGACCGACCCTGGGTGCGTCGCGGGAGTGTGCATTATAACTTGTAAGTCTTGAATGATTCGATCCTGACCTTCCGTACCGCTGCGGATTGGCGTCTCATAGGGTTGGACGCATAATCATATCGGAAGACATCTGTACGTGCCGTGCAAGCGTTTGGCTCAGGTTTTAGTTAGCGTTATCCTCGTGCGTTTATGATGGCGCATTACAAATTTTGATAAAGGTGAACCCATGGTGCTAGACATCATTATGGGGGTTTACCAGCTTGGACGGAGGGCTATTTAACGCTCCACTCCATCGGCCTATGATGTTGTCTTTTGAGACCAACAAAGGCGTGAAAATTAAACTAGACGGGATATGCCATCAACAAAGCACATGTTGTCAGCAATGTCATGGACACTACGCCATTTAAAAACCACACTAACATGAATGTAACCACGTGTCTGACGTAGGAGGGTGGCAAATGTCACTGCGAAAATTGGATAGGATATTTTTCCTCCCCCCCCCCCCCCCCCACCGGTGGTTAGAGCCATGACACCAAGAGGTGGTGGTGATGAAAATTGCCTCACAATGCCTGATGGGTACCACGGTGTGAACGCAAAAGCTGAAGCGCCTTTAAGCTGGTTGGCGCTGTTTGCATTCGATTTATAATCGGCAGGAGGCCTGAAGCTTAAACGGTGGTGTGCATTGCTTATAGGATGACAAGAATAAGGAGGCGATGACCAAGCCATCGAACATCAAGAAAGTCCCCAGGTCTGTCGACAAGGAACTTGAGAAGAGGCAAATCACCAAAGGAACTGAGTGAGTCCAAGAAGTCAGGTAACCGTTCAGAGTTGGTCTGCCAGTGGCTTACAGAATGAAACTTTCACGGTGTGCTCTCGCCCGACTTTATTTAGTATTCCAGACATAAAAATACAATTTTAAGCTACCCAGAGATAATCGGAGAGTTACAAATTCATAAACCATTCCAACGGAAAAATTTAAGCGCTCACCGGGTCTATGTGAGCAGCACAATGCTTTTCTGTGGGTTAAAAATAGCATGTTGTACGTCTACAGGTACTCAAGATCGGATAGCTGTTGTTTACACTATGCATAGTCCCAGCGAAATTTGTCAGTGAATTTGTAACAAACTGAGAACAAGCACGTTGGTACATGAAATTATACGTACTCAGCTTCACAAACATGAGAAGGAAGAGGTTACGTGCGCCGCACTCGTTCGCCTAGCTTCTCCACTACTGACGTTTTTCTCCACTCCACATTTTCCCGCCATAGCTTTGATCCTCGATGTAAGTTAACGTGATGGTAATGCGAAGGAAGTAAAGCACTCTGCCCAATATCAAGCGAAGCGTTTCATTTGTAACACCATTTCCACACGTTTCTAGCTTTCCGTAGAAAACGATTATGGGTCGAAACCTCTCAGCAAAAGCAACGCATGTGCGTAACGCCACCAGGGTGGCTGCGCAGGCACGCGTGCCATCAATGGCAGCGGCAGGACGGGCTATATGCGCCTCAGCCCTGAGCAATAGGCACAGATGCGGATCGTTGCTGTTGTACTGGCTGGACTGAGGCTCACGCAAAAACCCAGGTTTGTCAGCCCATAATGATTATGTTACAAAGGGAGCGAAAAGGAATGTCTTACGGCAGGGTCCGATGAGCTGAACTGACCACATCCCCTTTGCAGTGACATCAAGGACAAGATCCAGCATCGGAATACCTCCGGCTCCCGAAGCGCGGACGGCAAGAAGCCCAAGTCTCACGCCATCAAGAATGACGTCGCGGGTCGTAGACGCGCCGGTGCGTCACCGAACCGGGCCACGAAACTGGCACAGTGAGTCGAGCCGTGGCGCTTCCCGCGAGCGGCGAGACAGCTGCCCCCTCCCCACCGCAAATCCCAGGAAACATTTAGCATCAGCGATGGCTGTGCACAAAGAGACACGATGTGGGGATCGCGTTCCCCGCATCCACAGATAATCCGCCTCCACTTCGGCGCGATGATCGTCCGCATCCACTCACCCTCCTTTTCACTTTCTTGTTTTTTTGTCTACCTAATTTGCATGCTTGAAGCAATGTGATGTACTGCCCCGGTTCCCTGTTGCTACAGGGTGTTTTAATTAAAATGTCAGTTTTAAAAGTGCAAAGATTGCAGCAAAACAGGTCAAGCCGCGCTTTCTGGCCAGTGGTGTTGAAAGCTGCCGGATATTTAGATTGGTATCTTGCACGCAATCACTGTGGTCTGGGAACTAGAGACGCCGGCTTCCGTCCCCGCGCTTACCGGCTACTCACGCCATTTGCACGACACTAGCAGCCGTAACAGGTGTGGGTCATTCTGAAATTGGTAGAAATGGCTTCGTGTTTAGGGGTTGTTGTGGAAACGTTTTGGTAGGCAGATGAACGCTGACCTCAAACACAAGTGTCCAAATGTTCTAAGACCTGTAATAAAAAGAAATACGTTAACTGCATAGTCTGCACATCTTCGTGGCCGTGTAGCTAAAAAACTAAAGGATTTTAGGTCTTGAGAAGGCCATGACTGTGAACTGCACCGAATGCCCTTAAGAATAGCTGTCTCAGTTCAAAACTCCATGCAACTGTGGATTGCTTGCTTCAACATAGTGCATTTTCCGACGGCAAATGACGCGCATGGATCCCTTGTACGCATAGGTTTACAACACCTGTTAATTTTTGCAGGGGAAAGATGAAGAAGGCAGCGTCCACATCTCGACTGGACGATGCCAAGAAAAAGAAATGATCGGCGACGTCTCCATCGTGTGCTATCAGGCGGAGGCAAGACGTCGCCGCGCGCTGGCGTCGCGTCCAGACTGACATTTTACGACCATCTCGCAGTCGCCCTTACGTGGTCGGACTTGGGGTACTGCACTTTCTGCTTCTGCAGCTATCGGCGGCAAAAACGGCCTTGGCCGGAGCCGAGAGGCCAGCAGCGGGGGCGCCTGGCAGCACGCTCCACCTGTTCCGTCCACCCACCGGGAATCAGACACACGCGTAGGCACAGACAGAACACGAGGGGGTCTGGGCAGACTGTCGTTACGTTCAGCCAGCTTGAGAAGGACACGCACGGTTTCATGGAAAAAGCCAGGCTAGAGGCACTATGTCAGGAGTCAGACACTGGCAGGTGCACTGCCAGTGTGAGACTCGGCTGCACCGAATCCGTCCTTCATATCCAGACACACACACGCACACACACACAGAAACAAAGCCGCATTAGTACATTTCCATAGCATGCCAAATACTGATGACGTCCAATCATAGGGACAACAGCAATGATAGACAACTCCGCTAAACACGCACACCAACGCATTCATACAAAAGCACAAGACGACGTCTGCGTACCCGGACGCGAGTCCACACGAGGCTGGGGTTGACACCGAATCCGTCCTTCTTTTCCCAGACAACCCTTTATAAACATGTTGATGTACAGTGAGGCTTGTCGGGTGCCTATGATCTCATGTGTGGCAGGTTTGTGTACATGTTGGGTTCGTGGGTGGATTGTTTGTGTGCCGTCGTTTTGTTAGAAGACAGGTGGGGGATGTCAACATTGATACAGCCACCCATTCGGCATGGGCGAACGTACTACTGGGTTTGATGGGATCCAGAACCCAATAACGTTTGAGCAGATTCGACAATTTTCATGATGTGATCACATACAATCAAGCACAAATGGATGCAGCAATATTAAAGATGTGGCGACATCCAGTAGAGCATGGGTAGCTGCGCCCTTGACATTCGGGGTCGGGGAAGGGTAAGGGCAAGTTCAGGATTGGATGGTTCAAATTAGAGTCCTTGGAATAGCCTGGCCCAAAATAATATTTTTGAACAGGAAAATGTGAAAACTTGCAGTGTTGGACAAAATCTAAATAAGGAAAAATTGTAGGGGACATGCCCCCTCTGTCCCTTCCGCCCCCCCCCCCCCCCTCCCCTGCGCCGATTGTTACACCCATGCACTCGCGGATAAATTCCTATGTTGTCTCAGACACTTCATTGTTTTCCTATGCAACAAGAGCGTCCAAGCCACAGGCACTTTTCTTTCTCTTATTTCTCCACGCGGACCTGGTGCCGTTGCCAGACGTCATCTCATGATGACGCAAGTCCTTGTCCAAGTCCAAAGGACGGCGTCATTGTCAGTCGCTATCCGCAAAACGTCTATCGCATCACTGCTCCTACGTTCCTCACTCCGTTCTAATAGTTCCTCAAATCGTCACATCAGCTCCTCAAACTCAAACTTCCTTCGCCTTGGAGCACAGTGGCGTGTGTGCGGCGTCGGCATTTGTGTCGTCATAGGTAGCTACGTCAGCAGCTATCGTCATCATGGGTAGCTACCTCAGGTAGGTCCTTTGCCAAAGAACTTCACGCGGGAGCGTGGTTTCACAAAACGAGCTGGGGATGGGACGCGGTGAAAAATGACAAAACTTACCACCAGCACGCGCCAGCAAACTGGTTTCTCCCGGACTTTGGTCTATTTGGCTTCCAAATTTGGGGCGGGGCGAGGCAGGCTGGAGCCCCAACTGAACAAGAAACCACACCCCTGTCTCAAAGCAATCGTAAGCTGCTTATCGGACCGCCGCGCTGGGCATGCGATGCCACCAGCTGGTCCCGCATCCCATCACACTATACCCGCACAGCGCTGGGCATGCGATGCCACCAGCTGGTCCTGCATCCCATCACACCATACCCGCACAGCGACTTCGTCGCGCCGAACCGCTGGAAAAGTGAGTGCACACGTGTCCGTAGCTCCCCATGTGGCGTTCAAAATACAACGGCGTCTCACCTGTAGATAATGCTGCAAGCGATGCTATAAATAACTATCGCGGCGGCAAGTACTGGGGCCGTTCGGCGCCATAAAACGCTGCAAGACCGTTCTTTCCTGTATATTTTCTGAAATGCAATGTGCGCAGGTCATCGTGCGGTCGCGATGGACAAGGTAAACAATAGATGTCGGTATGCATTGTCAGGCGAGTTTGAGCCCAGACATCTCCATGCGCATGCGCGGCACATCGCCCGCGCAGACATGGCCGGAACAGCAGGCGAGCAGTCGCGCGACGGCGGCGCGGAACGCGGGCGGGGGCGCAACGCGCGCCCGAGGGAAGCGCCCGCGCCCGTCGCTGGCCGGCGTCGCAGCCGCCCCTCCCCGCGTCACACAAAACCGTGCGCGGAACAGGCCACCACAGCGGTGGAAGACCGTGCAGAAATCAAACGAATAGCATTAGAGTAGCAACGTGTGACAACGCAAAGCGGAAACACACAGACTCAAGCGAATTTGCAAATAAAGTATACCGAATGGATACGGCCGACCAACAAACGATTTTTTGGCTGCAGGTAAGGTGAGTTGCGACACGTTCGTAATTCCCATGCCTTGTTTCTTTTCGCCACCAGTCTGATCTGCCCGCCGCAATTCACTGCAAAGCGGGTTTGAGCTAGATAGGAATCAGTACTAACGCGCCGTGTGACGATCGGTACCCTGTCCCTCGCATGATTAGGTCAAACTTAACGGTCATTGTGACAGTGAGGGCAAGCGAATAGTAACGACGCCATAGACACATGGGACGCTGAAACCCCCTATCTGTAACGGAATTAAAAAAAACAATGCTTCGTCAGACCCAATAACGTACCGTCCGAACGTCGCGCAGAAATTCAACACCTTCAGCAATGCTATTA